TGTCTGTCTGCGTACCGGGCCGTGTCTGCGTGTCTGTCTGCGTACCGGGCCGTGTCTGCGTGTCTGTCTGCGTACCGGGCCGTGTCTGCGTGTCTGTCGTGTACCGGGCCGTGTCTGCGTGTCTGTCTGTGTACTGGGCTGCTGGTTTCCACCCGTCGGAGGCCTGCCTGTCAGCCGCCTTCACAGTCACGCCCTCGCTGGGAGCCTGGTGACTCGGGGACACCGGCTCAGGGTCAGGGTCCCATCAGCAGCACGGTCCACAGGCACCGTGCGGGCAGCCTGGCTTCAATGTGCTTCACTGTTGCTGTGAAATCCTCACCCTCACCTCCCCTGGGTCACCAGAGCACCTTGCGGGTGGGGGAGAATGGGACGCGGGAGCGCCGCGACAGCAGGGCTCGGCCACCAGAGGGAGCGGGAGCAGCAGACTGGACCCCGCCAGGCAGCACTGGCCGGAGAGCGCCCTCAGGTCATCCCAGCGTTGGAAGGAACACAGCGCCTGCCGAGCTGTCAGCGGTGACATTTCGCTCAGGACGGAACGCTTGGGACCACCCCCTTCTTCATGTCCCCCAAGTCTGGGGGCCCCCAATCCTGACGGCTTTGCCTTCAAAATACCCGCACCTATCTGACCACATTTCCACCTCCTCCACCTCCCATAGGCTCCGGAAGGAGGGGCTGCAGCCTCCCCCAGGTGCATGGGGGTGGGGGGCGCCTGGGTCCATTTCTTCGCTGCCTTGGGCTCAGGAGGAACAAGGTGCCCTGCAAACTGCAAGGTGTGTCATCACGAATGGGTCCTGCCAACTTAGCAAGGACTTGACGGAAACGACTAAGGACATCCCAAATCTGCATGCGCACACACGCACGCACACACACACACACACACACACCCACACCCTGGGTTATTAAGACAGCTTCTCGGTAACTGAAACATCATTGCAAACGCATACAGCTCGCATCCGGGCACCGTGAGCTGCGGGGCTGCAGAGACGGAGGGGGGGGAGGGGGGAGGGGGGAGGCGGGCGGCCCATCCGGCTTCCCAGCCCCGCCCCGGGTCCTCTCCCCCAGGCTGCTCGCTGCACCCCAGGCACCCGGCTCTGGCCCTCCCTCTGCCGGGAGCGCCCTCCGCAGTCGCCTCCCATCCTAGCTCTGCTGACTCAGCTTACACTCGTCTCCCCTGCACATGCCCTCCCCACGCGCTGTCCCCACCCTCACACATGTGGCCCCTCACCCAGGGAGCCGCACCCCAACCCGGGAGCTCTGCAGCAGGCACCCGAGGATCGGCATCCTGGCCTGAAACCCGGGGCCACGGAGGCACACCGACCCGTCAAGCACCCAGAACCCGGCTGGCCAGAAATGACGGCCTCTTGTGCAGCCCCCACTATCAGACTGATGGGCTCGCCCCCCCGCCCAGTGCCCAGTCCCCCCCCCCAGCCTCCCTCACCCTGGAGCAGGTGTGCTGTCGTGAAGACACTGCCTGGAAGGGCTGGTCCGAACAGCCGCCGGCCACGGTCTCCACCAGCTTCCGGAAGGGCAGAGCCCTCCACCGCTCTCGTCTGGCTCAAACGGCACCTCCGTGGAGGGGGCTCCTCGGCCACCCGCCCACACCTCTCCCTCCAGCGCTGTGCCGGCTCACCACCATGTTCTTCTCCTCCTGACGCGCAGGGGAACTGAGATGGCCTCGCTTCCCGCTTGTTACCTGTCCTGCCAAGTCCGTAGCGCAGCGTCGGCCCTGCCCGGGGTGCCCCACGGCTTCGACAAACGCACTAGTTAAAGTAAGTTCTCAATAATCAGTAATGGCCCACTCAATGGATGGATCCAGTTAGAAGGCCACCCTAGGGCGACCCCCATGGCAGCTGTCCCGTGAGGTGGATCTGGCCAAAGAAGAGATGGACAAAGGCAGGCTTGACTCCTAGGGAGCACACAACATCCAGCCACGGAAAATGGTTCTTAGGACCCAGAGCTGTTAGCACTCAAGGTCACGATCATCACACATGCTCCCCTTCCACACAGCTCAAGGTCACTGTCATCACACATACTTTTCTATCTCAGAACTCAAGGTTGTAATCAACACACATGCTCCCCATCTTCAGAACTCAAGATCACAGTCACCACACATGCTCCCCTGCCTCAAAACTCAAGGTCACGGTCATCACACATGCTTTCTTACCTCATGACTCAAGGTCACAGTCATCCCTCATGCTGCCCTGCCTCTGAACTCAAGGTCATGGTCATCACACACGCTCCCCTGCCTCAGATCTGAAAGTCATGATCATCACACATACCCCGCCCTCTTCTGAACTCAAGGTCACAGTCATCCTTCATGCTCCCCTATTTCAGAGCTCAAGGTCACTGTGATCCTTCAGGTTGTACTCCCTCAGAGCTCAAGGTCACAGTCATACTTCATGTTCCATTACCTCAGAGCTCAAGGTCACAGTCATTACACATGCTTCCCCTTTTCAGTATTCAAGGTCACAGTCATCTCTCATGCTCCCCTGCCTCAGAACTCAAGGTCACTGTCATCACACATACTCTCCTGCCTCTGAACTCAAGGTCATGGTCATTACACATGCTCTCCTACTTCAGAACTCAACATCACAGTCATCACACAGGCTCCCCTGCCTCCAAGCTCAAGGTCAGGGTCATCATACGTGCCCCCTACCTCAGAGCATAAAGTCAGAGTCATCACACATGCTCTCCTACTTCAGAACTCAAAGTTTCGGTCATCACACAGGCACGCCCCCTTCTCCCAGCCTGTCACCTGCAATGAGCCAACACATTTGGCATTGACTATGTCCAGCCTCAAATGGAAATGTCGGTGGAGACACAGTGAGGCTCTTTCCTAACGTACATACTGTTTTACAGGGTCACTCACGTTGTCTGGGCCAACTCGGGTTTTCACTTGCTCCAAGTGGTAGCAGCGCCCAGGACTGGGACCGAGACAAAGTCACAGTCTGTTTACAGAACTTCTGACAAGCAAGCCAGGGGGTCTCGAGGACAGAGCGTCCCTGGAGCCTCTGCTGACCGAGCACTTGTCTGGAGTAAAGTCAACATCACCTGAACCTTCATGTTGCAATTCTCTCAACAGCATCCACAGAGCTGCTCTTCGCAACGGCCCAGGGCCTTCTGCAGCCTCACGCAGGAAGCCGATTCGGGCGCAGGCCAGTCTGAACTAAAGAGGCAAACAAACCCGTTTTGTTGGAGGGTAAAATGAAAAGGTTTTCGGCTTCACTGTGTCCCTGTTCCATTTGCCGGGCATGGTGCCGCACAGTCGTGCGCAACAGGGGTCCTCAGCTCCTGGAGTTCCCTCGGGACACTCCTGAGAGATGTCTGTGCTGCACAGGTGATGTGTCCGCACCCCACTCACCAGCAGGTGGCCTGGGGGCGTTAGCCTCCCTGGGCTAGGGGCCCTTGAATTCCCTGCCCTTTTCTCAGCTGTGGTTTCACCTCCCGGGAGCCTGGCTAACACCTGACACTGCACCTCCTATTCTCTTTAATGTGTTTTATGTTTATGCTTTAACTTTCCAAAACGCTCTCACATACACAACCCTGTAAGACAAAAAGGCTGGTATTGCTTCCATTTTACATTTGGAGGAAACCAAAGTCCAGCAGAGGTAAGGGGATTGCCCAGGATCCGCACGGAGCAGCGAGGCTAGAAGCAAACTAAGCTGCCGTGTACCTCGCCCTGCCCCCCACAGTGCCAGGTGCCCGTCCCTGATCAGGCCGGGGACCTCCCAGTGCTGACGCCCAGGGCGGGTCCTACGTTCTCAGGGGCCTCCTGACCAGGGCTGCCCCGGGTGTGGGCCTCCCGGTGCCAAGGGGGTGGGGCACGGACCTTCCCCGCGGGCCTCTCCGAGGCAACAGCAAGGAGGTGATTCCCGAGACAAGCAGCAGACGGCGGGTCTGGTGCGAGGGGGTGGGGCCTGGCTGCCCCTGTCCTGGACTTAACTCTGTGGACTTACAAACTGGGGTCAAAACCACAGACAGGGGAACTGAGCAGCCAGAAGCGGTGCCCGTGCAGCCGCCACGAGGTGAGCGCTGACGTGCCCAGCAGATGTCCAGGCACAGGCCCGAAGCCGCCAGGTCAGCCCCTCTCCCGCGCGGGTTCCCAAGAGGCGCATCTGCCTGGGCAGCGCTGCCCTCTGCCCGCACAGCTAGCTGCCTGCTGGGCACCCGGACTGAGTCACGGAAGCAAAAACTGAAACCGGCCTTTCTAGAAGTCAGGAGAGCACAGCCTGGGGAGCCCACAGCCTGGGGAGCACAGCCTGGGGAGCACAGCCTGGGGAGCATAGCATGCAGAAGGTGCTGAGCCTGAGGTCAGCCTGGCGCCAGCTCGGACCCGCTTCTCCGTCCTTCTCCGTGAGCGTGGACAGAACAAGTCACCGCAGCAAGGACACCTGGCCGGCAGGGGTGCCCCCCCCGCAGGTGCCTGGCTCTGACGCCAGGGTCCCTGGTTGACCGTCATCTGCTGAGACAGCGTGTGCCGCTCCGGCAGAGCCCTGTAGCCCCCGGACCCGTGTCCCCGGGAGCAGCGGCGGCGCAGCCCCGTTTCGACAGCCCCCACCTGAGCCCCAGAGGGAGTCTTCGTAACCTAAATATACGTGACCTTCAAAGCAGCAACATCAAGCTAGTTTTTAAAAAACAGATGCATGAAATTCTGCTGGCTTCGTCCTCAGCGGCGTCCGGGCGGCTCCGTAGGTTGAGTGTCTGACTCTGGATTTGGGCTCAGGACATGGTCTCGAGGTTCAGGAGATGGGAGCCTCGAGCTGGGCTCTGTGCTGACAGCGTGGGGCCTGCTCAGGACTCTCTCTCTCTCTGGCTCTCAAAATAAATAAATATTAAAAACACATAAAGCAATTCTGCCACTTTCAGCAACAAAGCCAGTTGCGCTGGGGCCGGGCAGGCGTCAATCTGACCGTTTCCCAGGGCGTGGGTCTGCTTGCCCCCCACACGGGACGTTCCCCGGGACCCTCCGCACCCTGCCAGCCCACACGTGCCCACCCGAAAGCCTGGACACGGGTGCAGAAATGACGCACAACGTCCTCTTTCTCAAGGAACTCAGAAGAGCAGTGTCAGCAAGCTCCGTGCTCAGAGGGCAGCCTGTGGAGGTGGGAGAGGGAGGAGGGGCCCTGGGGGAGCACGGGGAGTCCCTCCCACCTGAGGGCCACCTGGCCGGAGGCCTGGGCGCAGACACGGGGAAGAGGGGACTGTGCTGGAGCCAGGCGGCTGTGGGCTGGCCTGACGGGGTGGGGGTGGGGGGTGACCGGGCTGCAGGGGGCAGGCTGGCCTTGGGGCCCTGGGCTGGGGCCAGCAGGGGTGAGTGGCCTTCAAGGCCCGTGGACTGTGTTGAGCAATGGCTGCCAGACCTTCTGCAGCCTGGGAACAAAACTCTATAATATGTCCCCTTGGTCATGTGACAGAGCGGCGGTGGGTGTGGGCGCCGTTCCTGCCCCCCAGGGCCCGGATTCTGCTGAGAGGTGGGCAAGCTGGCGGGTGCCGCCCTCTGGGCGGGCACCGGGATTTCTCATCTTGGACTCCCTCACAAAAGCACCCTTGAGTGCTGCCCAGGGGGCACTTAATGACTGTCTCATGCCCATGGTGGGTGGGCGAGGGGAGCGTCCTCCCAGAGTGGGGTTCCTCACACAGGTGGGGCCCCAAAGGGTCTCAGGTTCCATTTGGTTTGTGCCTATGTGTGGACCAGACTATTTTCATTTTTTTTTTTTTACAAATAGTTTATTGTCAAATTAGTTTCCACATAACA